ATGCTTACAGTATTGATGTTTCTTCGAATTTGGAAGATTGACAGTTCAAACACTTAAATATATAAAAAATCCTAGCTTTTTTCTTTTTTTCAAGAAATTGATTGACGTTTATTTTTATAAGGTTCAAATGTCGAATTGGAATGGACAGCCACTACTGGAATACCTGAGTAGCCGTACCATTGGCCAACTAGATAAGCTGTATTCATATCCTGCAATATCGTTTGCTATTTTCCGACTCTTGCCGGAACTTTCACAGCAGCTTATCCTGAAAATACTTTGGCTAAATGGTACTGAAAAGAAGTGGTAAGTTTTGAAATTTGAGAAATGTTCGAAGTAGTTTGTGTTTGTTGTTGGTGTATCGATAAACCATAGTTGCATAAGTGTATAATTAACTTCTAATTCACATAAATTGCATTCGGCAGTAACGGTCCATGTCTCCTTTGAAATGTGAATTCTTGGTGTGGAAACCGTCGTTTTCATTTGTTTTTCAATGATGGTTAAATTAATGTAATTTTTGCGCTGAAAAACGCTTAAACGGTATTCATTTTCTCCTGTGAAGTTTAGGTTAGTTTATTCGAACTTGAGATAGAAAAGAAAAAGAGAGAGAAATGTTTCTACGGCAAAATGGAGCGATGAGATATCCGTATATTAAGATCTTTTGGAGTCTTATTTTTACACCTTGATACTCTGGTTGTGAATCCACAGAATCAGTGAAGATGATAATCAACAAAACACCAATACTGGTTGCAGTGAAAAAAGCTTACTGCTCTTTCGGAAAACTGGAAACAGTTTTTTGAAGAAAGTCAATACAAACGTTTTCTAAGAAATCTTACCCAAACACAGAAATATGCTACATTCGAAACAGTTCTTTGGATGCTTCGAATTTGGTATACGAACTGGAAGGAGTGCAAGTTTTCTTGTTTTAGAAAATTCCCTGACCTCCACGTGTGAATTCTCTCTTCAATGGCTGTTGAGCAAGATAAGCAGTTAATGGAATGGATTCCTCCAATACATACAAAGGCTAGTTGCAGATGTCTCCGTTGCAGTGCAATCTTCACATCTCTTGGTTCCAAAAATTGACCTATGAAAACTACAGTTGGAGCCGCTTTCAAAAGAAAGAAAAGAAAAAGATTCATTGAAGCTATATATTTCGATGTACAGAGATATATTAACAGTAGTATCCCTGCTTTCTGATACCGTAATGGAAATAATCGCTGCTTTTTTGTAGTGAATGGCGTACATGGTCAGTCCCAGATTTCGAGGTAGCAATGATGAATCATGTCAATGGATTGAGGAAATTGAAGATAATTATTGGAGATGAAGAAGTTATGATTAATGTGCGTTTAGCTCTTCATATTTTTGTTGCTGCGATCGCTTGATCGGGAAAAGTGCATATTTTAAAAATGGGTTTTTAAAACTTGTTAAATTATCGTAAGTATATTTTATGAATTTAATTAATTTTAGTTTTTGTCACTACATATTTTATAGTCGCATGTATCAAAAGATAGCTTGACTGGTGGCTTAATGAATTTCTTTTGGGAGATCAACTATCAGGTATGGTGTGCATTCTTGCCATAAATAGAATATTTAATCCATCAAATGGCCAGCCGTCTTTCCTTCTGATCCTGCTGATGAAATTAATGCTTACTTTTCCAGCCTGTGTATCGTCGTGCATATCTTAAAGCAACTCGTATTGGATTGTGCAAAGCATCAGAGCTCAGTGTAGTTACAGACTGCGATGAGAAAACTCGAAAATCGGCAAATAAAGATCTCGGAAGAAAAGCAATTGAAAGATGGGAATGCATATTGCATTATTTGGCTTTACCGTCGCAGAAAAGCGAGCAAGGTGTCAGTGGGACCACTAAAATGCTTTTCAGATCCGCGGGTCTGACTAGCACTGAAAATGGTGAATTCTTTTCGGTTTTTTAAGTTTCATGTATAAATTATAGCTGTAGTTTGAATGAAATTTTATGTGGTAAGAAATTTTTTTGCAGCAGCTGGTATTCTCTCTTTTATGAGATCTGTAGTAAAAAGTAACACGGGATAGAAATGAGTGAAAACGGCATCCGCCCACATTTTTCATAATGTACATCTGAATACAGTAAACATGTAATTTTCTGCTTTAGAAGATGGTGATATAGAAATAACATCAGCAGGTTTCCAATTTCTATTATTAAATCGTTCGGAGCAAATTTGGACCTACCTCTTGCATTATTTTCATATGCAAGAAGTAGCTGGTATCGATATTATCAAGGAACTTGATTTTCTATTCAGGCACTTTCTTAATGTTCGATTGCTATATTCTAATTTTTTTTGTTTTTTAGAAGGTTTCGTTGAACTTGTTTCGTTTAATGTTTCATTAGTTTCGACTACAGTTAACAACTGACAGATATTTAGATTAACACTATATTCTGGTAATACATCTGGTAATACTAGAGTGACCACTGGTTCAGATAAAGAACGACCCGCCGGTAGTCGAGCATTTCTTATCGATGAAAGTTGGCCTGAGCCTATCAAGGATTTTTTGATGCACCTCAGGGAATTGGGATTGATTTTTATAAGGAAACGAAAAGACGGGTAAGTTTGCGATCATGTTCGAAGTTCTTCTTTTTTGAACTGTACAAAAAGTACCGTTCAAATTAATTCCAAGGTTTCATGAGATTCGTCATTTATTATCCTTTGCAGGTTTTTCTTCTTAACTCCTTTACTCAATCATTTGACCGGTATTTCCTATACATCTGAAACATGCATAGCAAACCGTAATCAAGAAGGCTTTGTGATAGTGGAGACAAACTATCGGGTTTATGCATATACAGATTCAACCTTGCAACTTGCAATACTTTCGACATTTACAGAAATGCTTTACAGGTTTTTTTCTTAGAAATTAGTAATGTTTTTGTAGGTAATTTTTTTATAATGCAAATGCATATTTTTTGTTTTTTTGAAAAGTTTTTTTGCTTTCAGATTCAATGATATGTCCGTGGGTGTGCTGTCCCGGGAAACTGTAAGAAGAGCTTTTCAGGTATTTCCACTGTGTCACGGTGGTTTTCTTATTCTATGAACTTATTGAAAGATCTACGTTATCTTTTGCAGAAATGAAACAGTTGATATGTACAAATATTTGATTTGGATGGAAGGGTATAATATTTTAATAGGTTGGTATAACAGCAGCACAAATTATATCATTTCTGCGTGCAAATGCTCATCCAACAACTTATGCTGTAACAACTGAATGCGGTGGAGTGATACAGAGTGTACCGACAACTGTTGCCGATCAGATACGGCTTTGGGAAGATGAAAGGCGACGTTTGGTATTATGCAATGCTGCTGTTTATTCGTCATTTGAATCTGAAAAGGAATATTATGGTTTGAAAGGATATGTCGATTCTCAAGGCATGCCTACGAAAGTTTCAAAAATCATTTACTTGACTTTTTCGCATCTTATCTTACAAATAGAAATTTTTATTCATTTTGGATTCATCGCTAGTTTAAACACCGTGAACACTTTTTTTATTTAAATTTCGGAGCTGTTCCTATTCGTTTAAATTTGTCTTTAGGTATCTTATTATGGAGTGATGATGCGCAGAAGTTGCTAGTTATTACAGAAGAAGGACATGAAAGTGTGAAAGCGTGGTGGAAGATGAAAACTGGTAAAAATGGTTCTTAAACTGAGCTTTCATTATTTTTACATGATATTATCAAGATATTTGATTGGTGCGTATTATTTTATTTAGCATAATATATTTCCACGTTCTTATGTCTGGAAACCTTGATTTCAAATTTCTCATTTGAATCCTCGATATCACATTTTTAATGTTCTTATGTTCTAGCTAAGTTTAAAAAATTTCTTGTACCCATTTATCAGCTTGCTATTAATAGAATTGTAACTGTGTTGCTAAAAATTTAACTGTCTTATTTTATTTGCCAATATTTATGAGTCTTAATCTAACAGGCTCTTAATATATTCGGAGTTTAAAGTTCATCATAATTTATTAACCATTGATTCTTTGGTGGATTTCATTTGTATGTATATCCTGAACAGATTTTCCTTCTATCATAAGATGCAAAAATTTATCAAGGTGTGGTGTTAAAAATGAGAGAATTTTGTAGAAATTATGTAAAAATTGAAGTTTTTCTTTTTCACAGGGACAATGGACTGATGGCATCATATGATAGATCGTAGTTTTTTTTTTTGAATGAGAAACTGTGATTATTTTATCAAAAAGAGTCGCGATTGTGCCAAATGATTCTAACCTAAAGGTTAGAGAGATTATGCTAGAATAATTTGTGTGTTTTCCATTTGTTTCAACAGATTATATATTTCGATGGTTGTTTTCAGTTGAATTTTTCTTTAATATATTGTCATGTTTCATTCTATCGTTGCCAAATTTGATAATGTTTTTACTTTGTAGAGATATTTATATTTTTGCTTTCATATATTGTGTGCTCTCTTTTACGTTATATAATTTCATCGGCCAAATTATGCATGTGTCTTTTTGTTGATATTTATTGTCATATATTTATACTATTTCTTCATTTTTTTATGTTGTTTTCCACGGTGTCAATTATTCTAATGTTGATCTCAGTGCTCAATGAACTTTCTACATTTATTGTCACTCAGGAAATCTGATCGGTATGTTATGTATTACTGAATGCAGCACTAGTAACATGAAATGAAGCTAAAAACTAAAATTTTAAGTGAAATTGAAGACTCTTTTATCAAGTTCATATGTCAAGTTTTCGTAGAAATACTAGTGAATGAGCCAGTATTTTACTTCGGATTATCTGATAAAACAGTATAATGGCGCCATTGTGTTCATAGCTTTGCACAACACCGCTCCGCAAGTAGGTGTTACCTGTTTGTAACAGATCTCTTCCTAATATTTATTTGGTTCATTAAAAATACATCTGGACACTTCTTGGATCAAGAATCATAAACAGCAATTTAAATCTTATTTCCAGATCTTAATTGGAAATTGTGAATTGCAAAATTAAATTGACAGAAAGTCACCAGGAAATGAAACAGTTCTGAAATCATCTTTTCTTTCTCTCTTCCTCTCTCTGTCAAAATTTCTTGATAGAAAATAAATTCAAATTAAATATTTTCGGTGATACCAAAAGTAAAGAGGTGAATTTAGCTCGTAACATTCCATCCTTATATGTTAAAATATCAATTTTCTGCAGTGCATTTTAGAATTTACTTGGCAACCGTTGACTATTTACCAGAATTCCCGAGTTATCTAAATATGTTCATTCTAATTTATTCTGTTTACTTGTATCTCTGTATCGAAATATATGCTTTTGCAAATGAACATTATCGTTTTTCGTCCCCATCGACATTTAATTTTTGTAAGTGCTAATGTAAGCTGCTCACCTGTGGATATCTCTTACCTGCTCGACATCCCAGACTTTCTTTTAGATATAAAGCTAAAAATATAAAAAATGAACCAATCGACGGAAAATCCAAAAACTTCTGATATTAAATTATTCACATCAACTGAGACTTGTATCACTGACAGTTAAGCTGAGGAAGCTGCATTTCGCAATTTGTCTTTGTTAAATTTAATTTCTTTGTGTAAATCATTAAGAGATTCCTTATAAGGCCTTCGTTCTTTGATTATTCTTTGTCTTTATGGAGCAAATGTAGCTAGTCCTTTGTTCTCATCGCTTCTTCTTTCCCCAACCAGACACTGCCTGACCCCGGGGTTGGGTTACCTATTAAACCCATTATCTACGCTATTCTCGTACCGCCCCGCGTTGGGTATATAAGCAATCAAATGTATCATCTGGCCACTCTCTCTATTCATTCATTTCATTCGTAGGTTTATTTCTCTCTACTTCCAGCTATCATCGAATCAATTATTGATCATTTCATCGTTGATACTAAAACTGTTCTAATACAATTCCCAACAATAAAGTAAATCTCAACAATAATTTGTCCGTGAATCAACAATAATCAATCTACAACACTTTCACAACACCAATTAACAAGTAATCTGTGAAACTTAATACTTATTATGCTGGAACGCTGAAAAATAAAATAATCTTGATTTTTTATCAGCTGGAAATATTCAAATATTTCATACCTTCTTCATCTACTAGTTATTTCTCTTGAAATATATTTACATAAAAATTCAAATTTAAGGAGCACTGTTTGATCTGTATTCTCAGTATAAGTAAAATGCTTATTCTTGTTTGAAATTTTAAAAACAAACTGACTTAATCATAAAATTCAATCGAGATATCATATTTAGATGACAATGAGCAATTTTAAATAACATTTAATTATAAAATCTTGTTTCAGCGTTAGTTTCACTTCAACTCAGTTTATTCCCAGCATTTTCAATAAACTACGTCTCAATATAAATAATATCGTCGTAAACCTAGATAATAAAAATTATCGCTAAATTTGACTTCCTTTGAAGTGAGTAGTTTGATTCCCCTCCACAAACATTTATAGAACAATCTAATTACTTAATGACAAATTATAGGAAACAGAAAAAATAATTTCTTACAAGCAGTTATATAATGCATTCATATTTCAGTCATAAATTTCAATAAAGCAGATTTGAAATTTTCATGACAACCAATAAATAAATTTTATATAATTTCTTTTTTCATCGAGAAACAGGTTTTGTAGGGCTGCACGATATTTTTTGAAGTACAGAAAAATAAGTACGATTGCTCTTATTTCATCAAATTCTAAATAACAAATTCAAATTTCTGCTTCATGCTGTCGTTATCCTTATTTCTGATTTCGTCATTGATAGTTATAAAACTATGATTCGATTTCAGATTATGAGAAATAAATAAGCCAATAGTCATTAACTCCTTAGTTAACGAGTTTGAACATCAATTAATATCTATTTCATATTCTATGCTAAAATTTGTCTGACAGAATTATGCACCACCTGACCACTACCTGGTTGGTTGATTTTATTTACTGTTCATTAACCGTTATTTATTGCTCATCATGCTCTTTCAACTACAATGTGGTTTTTTTTTTTTTGGAATTTTAAATGACCTATCAAATAGAGAAGAAAAATTCGGCAAGAGATATTTGGAAAGAGACTTTTCAGGGAAACATGAATTGTGCACTGTCGAAGTTGCAGAACAATTGATAGAATTCCGATGTTTTGTATCTTCTCAGAGATTTTTTTATAATTGAAGGAATTGATAAATACAGAGCAGAAACTTCATTCAATCAGGGTATTAATAAATGACATCTAATAATATTTATGAAAAAAATTATATCCATTTCATTTTCCGAAAAATCATAACTCGAATAATCTGACATCCAAAAATTTAACATACAAAAATTATTTGTTTTCTTACAGGTGATCTGAAGTTGTTTGCTGAAACCAACAACAATTTTTTGCACACTAGCCTACCTCCGATTTCGAATCGCATACGGTAAGTTTCTATTACAATATTATAATTCAATTAATAATATGCTGATCAATAGAGAGGATGTAGGTGAAGGAAGTTATAAAAAAAATTAAAGCTCGGTGCTTTGCCTTTGCTATATTTAATTGCCTCCTGTATGTCGCTATTTTGAACTCTCTTTCCCATGATTTCGTGAAATTTCAAGAAAAAATGGAAAGAAACCCAAATTTGTTGATGTCTTCTGTCCTCTCGTGTCGATAAAATTATGCTACTGCACTTCTCTTTCTTGCTTCCTGCCTTACAACTGCTTTTCTCCTATTTATTAAAAAAAACAATGCCTTTCTCCATAATGATCTTTTGTATCTCCATTGTTCGTGTTTCATAATCATTTGGGGGAGAAAGTTTAGATAATCACAGGAACAACAAATGATTGGAAGGTCGCAATTTCATGCGTGAATCCAATTCAACCACAGTTTGTATTATAAAGGTATAAATCAAATTAGGACGAAATTTAATGATTAACATAGCAAATTACAACAGTCATCAAAATGAGTGACAACTGATCCTGTAAATGTTGGAGTAACACGGCAAGAAAATGAATGTCAATAAAAGGAATTTCAACTCAAAATGTATAATTTGATTTCCGCATAGAAATGAAGAAAGTATAAATGAAGAAATGAAGAAAGTTTTTGAATGATTATTCAAAAAGAAACGGATTAATTAGACTAATGAATTCTTATCTTTTCTAAGTCCATAAAGCATGTCATTAATCTTTTGTCTGCGAACTTTATTTCACTAACCAGTATGAAAGTTCTAAGTTAAGAAATTACATTATAGTCACAAGAAAAGATAGTACTAAGAAGAAAAAAACAATTCTGAAGGTTTAATTAGCTGAACCTAGCATATCATCTCACTTAAACTTATTGATAAGCAATCTGTTCTTACTATCGTCGTCACTTTATTTGCAATTTTTCAAATTTTTTTTTCCTTTTTCGATTTGAAAAGAGGATAATTCCATTCAAAAGGAATGCAATCAGTAGATGTAATTCAATCAGTCCGGAAAAAAGCTTTCTCTTTACCATACCGTTCAGAATGTCAGCAATCAAGAACCAGCTATGCCTAAGAATTAGCATAGTAATTGCGTAACCTGTATGAGTTTAATTCTTTGGAAATTATAAATTGCCCATTTAAAATAAGAAGAAATCCCATACCAAATACAAAAAATTTAAATCGATATCTTTAATTATTAACACACATTTCTGCCAAACAAACGAGGTGCAAAAAGTTGAATAACCTAAACAAACAATATTTGTGTGGTATATCGACTTTATCCGACACACGACTTCCATTCATTGACTGAATTATTATCCAAGCTCAACTGTGCTGTGACAGACGAAATACAAGTTGTTAAAAAAAGCAAAATAAAGGTAGAAATATCTAAGATCAGTGGTGGTGGGAATGTGCTGCGGTACCTTATCAGACCTTCTGCTTTATACCAATTGGTTCAGACAACAATTCAAGTCTTAAACGTCTACCATTGCTTCTTTGCATTTTACGAATACATATATATATATTGAGCATTAATATGTCATAACTCCATTTATTATATCATGGAGATAGAGAACAATCTAGTCATGTAGATTGGTTGTGTTGATTCACAGACAAATTATTTGTTAAGATTTATTTTATAGTTGGGAATTTTATCCGAATAATTCTAGCATCAACAGATGAAAAGGATAGCAGAATATCTAATTTGATGTAGTTCCTAGTAGGGACGAATAAGCGCATAAGCGCATGGATATTGACAAATGTCAAAGAATGCAAAACAATCCCTGATACCAATATTCGACGCTTTATATACTCAATGTGGGGCGGTACCAGGATAGTAGATAATGGGCTTAATAGGTACCTCAGGGTCAGAAAATATCATGTTGGGGAGGGGAGAAGGGATGAGGACAAAGGGAATTGTTTGATTACTTGTTATCTACATTTGTTTCACATAAAAAACAAAGAAGGCGTTATAAGGCATCTCTTAATGAATTATAGCAACACAATGACAAGAAATTAAATTTAACAAGACAAAATTGTGAAATGCAGCTTTCTCAGCCTAACCATCAATGACATAATTCTCAATCCATGTGAATAATTTTATCACCAAATTTCGGATTTTCCAACAGTCACGAATCTCTAATAAAGAATCTAAAATAGTCATCACAGGCTGTTAATCAAATTAATCCACTAAAAACATAACGTTTACTTGAAATTTTTTAATACTGCCATTATTATTATTTTACAGTTTCCCACTTCACTCTTTCTAGTTTACAACTATTTTACCTTTGTCCAACTCAATAGAAATGGAAGACTGATTCGAATATATCTTATATTGTATAAAAGCATATTTCGAACAATTTTAAACTTTGGTAATAATTAAATCTGCAATTTTCTTTTTGCGAAATTTCTCATCGGAGACCGAAATTTCTCGTCGGAAAGTATTTAAAAATTTCACTACTGGTTTCCATTGATTTGTTATTTTGTTTGTAATTTTATAATTTCATACACCGATTAGGTGGAGGAAATTCGACTGCTGGTAGCGCTTTTTTTCATGGATACGGGACATGAAGGAAGAGAAAGTGTTGCTTGAATGATTGATTGAATCACGGCAAAGAATAGAAGGCATTTCCACAAGGTCATTGATTTGAGATTACATAACGAATTTTAGTTGAAAAGAAGGATGCAAGAAAATTTCAGTACAGAAAATTGAATATGAAGAAATTTATGTAATTTAAGTTAAAAAAATTTTCACTAACAGCTAAATCACTTTGCATCTTTTACTGTCATTTTTTTCCCATTTTCTATCACAAGATTAATTTCCATTTTTTCTCTTTTCTATTTTAACTTATCCGGTAAAGCAAAATAGTTTCCCTTCACACTGATCAGAAAATTTTAAGCAGCCGATAGAATTTAAAAAGTTTATTCTTAGGAAATTCTGGTGAAGTTCTCGATTTTTAAATAATAACACTTAAGTCATAATTTGCGCTGTTCTGACGTCTTTCAAGATGAAATGGATTGAATTAATTGTTGGTGAACTTTACAACTATGAAAAGTAGCAGTAGTTGTTTTCACTTTTAGTTTACTGGCTAATTTGACGCATTGTTGTTCACTTAATCATCTATGTATGAATGTAGTAATTTCTAAAAAATGAAACAACCTTACGAAGAAAAATAAATTTCACTTAGAATTGTACTTTAATTTGATTTTATGATTCAGTCGTAGTGTAATTATCGCTTAACGGACAATTAAGCGTTAAAGTGTTAACTTATCTCATTTCACATTTTATGCAATCAAGACATAAAGGTTGAGAAAGCTTTTTTATCTATCATAACAGCAGGACAAGACATTCAGCAGGAAAACTGGTAGTAAAGAGTAAAAACTATATATCATTTTAAAAGTGAACATTTTTGAACTAATTTGAATTTAAGTTCTATACAACCGTATGGTAATCAAGCAAGAAAAAAGGAAAGTTCAAAAGGAACGAAAAGAAGTGAGTTCGGTTAAAAAAAATTTATTGGTGGCAGTGAGTGGAATTCATTTTTCAATAACGATACTTTTTTTATCGTTTTTGAACAACGATAGTAATTTGATTTGTGAAAAAAAATTACGAGCGAAAATGAAAAATATTCAAGATTTAAAAAGTTTATAACGACAATCACCATTTTTATGAATAACCTTTAATTATTTAATTATCGAAGTCGCCTCCTTCTTTCCAGCTCTTCAGATGAAATGCTGAGGTAAAATATTATTACCAAGCAGTTTAAGAATATTAATTCCTTCTTATAATAAATTTCGCTACATTGAAAGTACAGTTCAATCAAAAAAATTTGTTACAACATTCTAAATTTTTCTGTCAACTATTGTGGGAGCAATTTAAGATTTAAAATTTTTTTGTCAAATTTCTGATTTATATGGAAGTTTTTTTTTATTAATCATTACTACATTTTCCATCTATTATTAAGAAAATGGTAAATTCCTTTGCGCTTCACTGATTGCTCATTAAAATTTTTTCAAAAAGTAAATCTTTAATCTTTAAAAACTAAGATAATTGCTTTCATTGTGGCACTTACTGATTCTTAGCGAAGACGTCACACGATGAGAATTTATAATGAGACGAATAGAGAGTGCCAAGCCCAACAAACTTCTCTTCTCTTTTTCCTCTTTATTTGCCCCATGGCCTCTTTTTCGCCGAACTACAATTTCGTCTTTAAAAAAATTACATCCGAAGAAAATTTGTTTGAAGCACCAAAAGTGGAACGAATAAAACTTTTATATTTCAAACGCGAATGTAAGATTTAATTCCAACGAACATTATTTTCGTTGAATCAAATTCGACGAAAATGCAGCAATAAAAATTAAATTTATAAAACTTATCTTTGCAACAAAACATGCATTGGTATGTGTTTGTGTGTGTTATGTGTATATGCTTGCGTTCTGTGTAGAAGGAAATTTTAGTGCAAATGGTAAAAATAAGCAAGATAATTTAGGAACCAGTTTCGGATCTTAGCTGGTGTATAGAAAATAAAACACCCAAATAAGTTGAGAAGAAATGTATCTAATTCGAAAATGAACTAATTTCATTAATAATATTTTTTTCCCACATTTTGAAATTTTTTAGAATTTTTTTCTTTGCAATTAAACAGTAAAACACAGTTTTAAAAGTTGAAAAATGTGATTGTGTATTTCAACACCTAACGAATATTTGCTCTGTTAAAATGAAGAAATTTTTGCACTGCTAGACATGCAGTATGCAATTTTTTTCATGCCAAACCTATTCTTTTATTCAAGTTATACAGAACTATTTAAACAAAAACAACTATTTTCTACTAAATTTGATGGGGCAATTTTTAAAGGTCTGCACGAATTATGATACACATTTCACGTGCAATTATGCAACCTAAGATCTGATCAATTTCATTCTCTGAAGGATCAGCATTCGATATGCGCTCTTTTCCAATATTATAGATTGTCACACACCAAAAATGCAACTGCCTATTCATTCATTCACAGCAGGCTACTAATTAAATTGAATTTTTGATTAGTGATTACAAAAAAGCAAAAAAGTTAGAGAAGAAGAGAAACCATTTTCAACGAATTATTTAACAAAATGTTTTCATGGCTATCAGGAGTTTATTTTTGGCAAAGATAAATCCACTCATCCCTAAACAATTTAATCGACTGTTTTATTGCTTATTTCTGCAAGTATGTATATGTGTGCTTATGTTTGTGTGTGTATGTGTATGTGTATGTGTATTTAATTAATTAATTTTTTTCTCGTTAATTCCCCCCTCAGTGTGCTAGTGTTACCGGTTAACATTCCTGGAAAACAGGTATCACGAGCGTCTGAGACGTTGTTGAATGGTAACTGTAGCACCGAAATGGCAAGCAGCGAAATAACTACTTCAGTACGCTTTTTTTAAGATAGCTTTTACCTTTCGTCCGTGTTCACCACTATGCCATATAGGCGATATGCACACAACGGTGACACACTAACGACACACAAAATGAAGAAAGAGTATTTTTGGGGGTGGCCCACTGATTAATTAACCGGTTTTCAAAACGGATCAGTACTTCGTGTCCCATCTTCAAAATTTAAAAAAAAGGTGGAGAGGAGAGGGTGGAGTTAGTTAGTTTAATTTGCAATAGAAAGTGGGAGGGCCTTGAGGTGCTTGATTTTCTGGGCGGAGAGCGAAAGACAGACAAAAGAATGAAATGCCGCAAAATGCTATAAAATAGGGCATTGAAGTGGTCAAACAGCACTCTTAGAAATCATGCATGAGGCGAAAATCATCGCGCTGGTTGCTGCAGCATGCAGTGCCATGGCAATTTTATCATGTGTGGTAGTGATACCATCACTTTACAACGCTATCAATGAGGTGACTCTTTCTAATTATCATAATCTTTATATTTTTTGTTATAAAATTTCGATATCGTTTTCATTCGTCTCGTTTATGAATGAGTTAATGCAATTTGATACTCTTTTCTGCAGTCTTGTCAGAAGAGTGGTATTTGTTATCACTTCTAATTCGATTGTTCCCAACTTCCTTAACTGAATAATAAGTTTAGCCGCATTGCAAGCTTAAGGTCGAAATTTTGTTTCGCTTCCCAAAAGTGTTAAATACTTCTTAGAAACATTGTATCTATTAATGAATTTACGACTTTATTGGTTCTTTTATTTCCACTTCTATTTTTAATTCCTGTTATTGAGTCCGATATTTAATTTTTGTGTTTTTCCACAACAAAAATCCGGTCCGTGAAAAAGAACATCCCGTTATTCAATAATAAAATACACTCATAAATGTTCCCAACCAAATGTAATTCATTGTTTGTGGATTTAAGAATTCTCTCCCTTTCAAAAACCTCTGCTCGCTCCGCACACGCTATTAATTTGCTATTAAACAAAATTTTTATTGAATTCGAGTTTTTGAAATCATGCTGAATTCGAAATGGATAACGGTAGAAATTTAAGTTCCTAAAATAACTTCTGACTCAATGATTCAAATTTTATTTTCTTTGCGATAAGTAGGTTACGGTGGAAAAGTATTTACTAGAAAATTGCGAACTCTGCTATCTCAAGTTTTCCCATGTTTTCCCATAAAAAGATCTTTTTTCACATTACCACCAATTTGGAAAACATAATACTGTTGTACTTTCACATTTTTTTTCTTCATGAAAAAATTCAAGAGTTCAGACTTTTAATAAACCAAATTGTAATTCAGAAAAGTTATTAATATCAGTTTTTAGGTTTAAATCATTAAAGTGCAAAATATTTTTCTCCAATTCGGAAATTTTATCTCTTATAATGAATAGAATAACGAAATACACAAACGTTGATTAGTAGTTGCCCACTATCTGGTTCAGGTGATGTGTTATGTCCACCTTTCTTTCATTTAGATTCTATAGGAAGGCTTTAGACTCAAGTTCCAGCTTATCCTAAAAGATCATTTGTTTTGACAGGTACATGATGCGGTAATAGATGGTGTGCAGGTTTTTCGCGTTGAAACCGATTCAGCATGGACCGAGCTCATGGATGTACAAATTAGCGTGACACCGCCGAGCAAACCACGCGAAAACCCCTTTAAAAGCATTTTTCGTAAGAAGAGACAGGATTTCTCTAGTTTGCCGGATTACTGTCACTGCGAACCAATCAAGATCACTTGTCCTCCTGGACCGGCCGGTCCAGCTGGTGAACCAGGAAGAGATGGGCGTAAGTTTTTATGTATAAATTCGTAAATTATGTGTACAGTTTTTCCAATTTAGTATTTCGCTTATACATAATTCTTTTTACTTTGGAATATTACCGACTCGTTTTTTTTTTTTTTACTTTTACCTTACATTCTGTTTACGAAATCTGATATTTATTTGATCATTGCAGCACCTGGACCACCTGGGCCTCCGGGAGAAGATAACACAGTAACATATGCACCGGTGACATGTCCTCCTGCTGACACCTCTTGCATCAAATGTCCAGCAGGGCCAGCTGGACCGCCAGGAGCGGATGGTGAGCCAGGACCAGCAGGACCTGATGGTCCACCCGGATTGCCGGGAGCCGGAGGAAATGGAGGTAAACCCGGACCACCAGGACCAATCGGTGATGCAGGCCAACCAGGATCAATGGGCCCACCCGGTGAAGCAGGACCACCCGGCAAAGATGGAGAAAGAGGGAAAGGTGCACCAGGACCTCAGGGACCGCCTGGACCGCCAGGATCACCTGGTTCCCCTGGTCCAGATGGCGAAAAAGGAGCAGATGGAAAGCCAGGTCTCGCAGGACCAGCCGGTCCTCCGGGAAAAGATGGGTATCCTGGAGAAGAAGGCAAACCTGGATTACCTGGAGGTCCTGGTCTTCCAGGAAATGATGCAGCATATTGTCCATGTCCTCCACGCTCTGCTGTATTCATCAGTCGTTTCACTCAATAACAGAAACTTCTAAAATTTTTTTTCAAGAAGTTCACAATGAAATCAACAATACAGGATGATTAATTACACTACTGTCGCATCAAACTTTCATGATTTTTTAACCGAAGAATTTTTAGAATCCAATAAAGAAATGAATAAAATTTGTATGACATGTGGTGAAAAAACATGATAAAAAGGGAACTGTGCAACTATGTAATTAATTATGGTTGCCTTATCGGATCATTGGATCATCTAATCAAACCATAGGTAAATACTGTAAAGAAAGATCAAAGCAGAAATTCGAATTTGACTGAGTATTTGATCAATGAAAAAGACAGATCGAGTTGACAATCATGCGATCTATACTGAGGAGACATTCATACATATTCTGATAATATATACCCATGGCAGTTTCAACATTCGTCTTTTTTCATATCCAGAATTTTAGATAAAATTACAGTTTTCGGATAATTTTGAGTTAAAATTTGAACTTATAAAGTGAAAGTTACCGGATGATGTCACCATATTCAAATTTGGAAAGGCTCTACTACGAAATAAAACTTCGTCGTCAAAGAAATGACATAAATAAGTACAGCAGTTCGGCTAGTTTCATTATTCTGATACTCATCATGCATATCTCTTCGCTGTTTTTTCGCGCTGGTTCTCAATTTGAGGCGATCGCTCGAAAACGCTTTCTGAGAAAAAACCAATAAAAAAAATTAATTAATTTGTATAATTTGGAATCCAAATAAAACTTTATCCAACCTGTTTCTTGTGAACTTTTTCCACTTTCCCAAAGACCGAAGTTTTTGAAACATAGTTTATGTTTGAAAGTATATCCTTCAAGTCATCTGAGCTTTCTTCTGTTTCTTCTCAGATACCCAATTAACAATAACAGAAGTTTCAGACAACTTATATGTTATTGCTAATAATAAAGTTTTATCAGATACTAAATGAAATATCAATATTTTTATGCGATTAAACAGTAGTTAATCATTAATAAATAGTGGTGAAAAGTAGAACGTAGCGAACAATTTTTACTTCAACAAACTCTTAAATTTAAAATTTTTTGTTTCGAGAAAAAAGCGGGTCTTAAAGTTATTATAAGTTAGTAAAATGATTTAAAACTTTGAAATATAGAACTGTATTATAGAAACACAAAATTCCCACTATCATTTTATGAAAAACTGTCATATTCGGAACTATGATTTAATGATCACTAAAAACAAATATTTTTCCAATTAAAAAAATTTAAAGTTCCGAATTTACACGGAATTGACTACTGGTGTTCATCAAGAATCCGTTTATCCTTTGTCAAGAAATCAATAACTGCTATCGTTTCTTTTATATTTTTCCAAGCTCGCTTCAACAGCTTATTATACAAACTTGTTTTGTGGGACATCGTAAAACAAATACATTTGCAGTCGCAGTGCTTGAAAAAGTTTCCTTTTATTGAGAGCTTATCGCAATCATTTGTAGATCTTGCAGAAATAATTTAAACATATCAAATGTTTAATCCATATCAAATGGGCTGATTTTATGACTGATATAACATAGCGTAAGCGGTAATAATAATTAATAGAAAAAAAGTTGAATTATTGAGAAGGAAATGAGGGATTAAGATACTCGAGTAATTAATGTGAAATCATACATATTACTCATCACTTTCATTGTCTTTCAAAGCAAATGATGAAAATAGTGAAGGCTAATAATTTATCCTCATGCTTGAAGTATTTCTAAAAAAAATAATAAGTTTTAAAATATTAAGAGTGATTGTAAAAGAAAAGAAATCCATGGCTTTTCAGAAAAACGGATGTCGATTAGAAAACATCACTTAAACAAGTGATAATACTTGAATTCATAGATATTACTTTCAGAATAAATAATGAAATTATTTCTGTCCACAAAAGAAACTCATTATTTAGTATAAAGTGATGAAGCTAAACAATATCAGCGCTGCTGTATGAAATTAGCATCTTGTTGAAAGGATTCTTTTGAAAAATAATTCGGCAAAGGATATTTCAGTTGTTAACAAAACATCTTCCTTCCTTTTTGAACTACCAATATAACTTTCATTTTTTCAAACTATATTTTCATATTTACAATCAAATGATGAGTCTCTTTGGTGGAGAGAGATAATTTTATTTGTTTTGAAAGTAATATCTATAAATTCAAATATTATCACTGATTTAAATGATGTTTCCTAACTGACATCCGTTTTTCTGAAAAGTCATGTATTTCTTTTCTGTTACTTCATTAAAAGGGGAAAAGAACTGAATTTTATTAATTAGAATAAGAACAAATCTTCTAACAATGTTATTACAAGTTTTATATTTAGCAATTTGAGTCGATTATTTAAAAGCAATAACAGCCATACAATGTAGTCCGTTTCAATATTTTTAATGCTTCGAGAAATTTAACCAGATACTATCTTCGGATCATAGACTTTATTTTTACCTGAAATATATGTTTAAAATAAATCTTTCTCAACTTTTCAACTTTGATGAAGATAGGTTGTAAAATAGGAGAAATACTCTGATGCAATTCTGGAAAGACAAAAAGTAATTATAAGCGCAACTGTGGGTAGCAATTATTGATTAGAAAATAGAGAAAACCCATCTGGTATTTCCTCAAGATGTAACTGCATAGCTGCCAGACACTTTCAAATATTCACGAAGACTAACTGTGTTCTCGTAATGTTTTCTTTACTAAATTGGATAACTGTGTTCAAAATCAAATTTAAAAGTTCGTCAATGTTGCAGCGAATATGTTCATTAATACAGTTGGATCATATCATAATTATATAAATTAAAGCCGACAAAGAGAAATGAGAGAATACAGGAGTCCCGCTTATCCTAGACAAATCAGTCTAACAAGAACTGACTAGAAGGAAAATGAGTAACACTTTTATTATCGTTGAAAGCAAAAAATTTAGCACTTGATAGTGAAGGCAAAAACCGACAAGCAGGAAGTGGCTCCAGACTTTATTCCTACCTGAAAAAAAAAATCAAAAACAACAAAAACCGACAATCCATAGAAAAAACGTTTTCCATTTTTTTAAAACGATTTTCGTCCTTAACGAGGTAAAATTGTGGTTGGAAGTTGACTATCTCTTTACGAGCATTTTTCTAATTGTTAAAAGCTAAATTTTATGCTCGAGATCTTTCCATTGCAATCTATCAACATTTTTCATGACGAAACTGAAATACTGCCCAGTCATTAATAAATAAAAATGATAGGACGTATAATGAGATCACTTGAACCTTACCTAGCCGGTACACTAAATATTGTGATGGTCAGTAGCAAAGATTCTTCATTTGGACACGGAAAGAGCCATAAGAACGAGAATAAGTTAACACTTTAATAACTTGCTATATACAAATCCCCACAATTTAAATTGGTCCTGAAACAATTTCATGGTTACGGTTGATGGGTTTTGTTATGGATATTGGTACTACTAATTGAGATGAGGTTCGGGTCATGCTAGTGCCTTCTTGGGTTATTCATTATTAAATGGAGAATCAACAGCCAAAAGTGTTTGGAGTTATTGTAGCTGGTCGTCCGGTAAGATGTACATATATTATTTTTTGAAGAAGTGCACAATAATGTCTGATGTAATAAGGTTTGCTTTTCATATGCGTTATATCACATATACTGATGGGAATCAAGCGGTCATATCTAAATTATCATTTAACTAAGTAGTCAGACTTACCCTTAAATTTTTGGATACGGTTTAGAACATGACATTTAGAGTTGTCAGCTCATGTGTCTAATTTGTAGATCCAGACAGATTTTGTTCAAGTAAGCAGAACAGAATTTGTTATTGAAGTGGCTGATTCTGGTTCAGCGAATCATGTTGTCGTGTTCTTGACAGGCATAGCACCATTTCCTGCGGACGTAGGCGGCACCGGTATGTGGTCATATCATTTTATTAGTTATTAAGTTCGTTGTACCCAGCTGGTAGTTCTTAGTTAAATTCATATTGAATTGTACCTGCATTAAATAATATGACGTGGCGCAGAAAAAACCATCTCAAAATTAATCCAGAGAGGAAGAGTCCCAGATGCACATTTAATTTCTAATTTTGATCTTAATTTATAGTTTATATTCGGTGGCCAAAAATCGGAACGGAAATGAATTGGCATTACCTCGGATACATTGCTAATGAGAAGCCGAGCGCTATATTTCGAGTTGCTCAAGTATAAATTCAAATTTGTAGGAAGTAGGAGCTCTTAGATACTTTATATGAAGTAATAAGTGGAAGATTTCCCGAGAGAAATAAACTTACCCTATAGCTATTAACCTTTATAGATGTACTTGAAGTTCTGTAGAGTAGTATAGAGAGGATAGCTTTAGAAATTTCTTTAAAGATTAGCACGCTCTTTGTATTTTTAGCTTCATAAAATGGATGCTGTTCATGGTGGTTTATTCATATCGAATATATCGACAAATGGAAATGCAGCTGGCAATGCTCAGATTGGTATCAGTGTAGAACCTCTTACAGTTATCACAAGTAAAGTTCCTGCTGAGGGGACGACAATTAGTCAACAGGTGTGGTATGATCTGGGAAAACATTAGGAAATAAACAACGCAATGTGGGAACGAATGTGGCTGGGGTGGTTAAATCATGTTGATATATATCCAAATATAACAGTAGCAAAGCAACCAACAAGCTAAGAAAAAAAAACTGTTTTGGCTGATAACGAAACAGATAACTAAGTAATTCGAAATACTTTTAGTCTAGTTATGGGATCAGATCTTATGGCTTGAGATTTAACACTTTGAGATTTTTTGTTGAAGCTTGCGAATGACCTCGTATATGTGCAGTGCTGCCTTTTCTGCAAAGGAAATGGACTCGATGGTGATACTGTTGGAATAAGCATGTAGTTAACTTCCCAGATTCCAGTCACCTATGTAATTTTTTTTGGATTTGCAGTCATCATTCATGGAGTTCGCGGAGAAAATGTTGCAAAATTTTGTTAACCATCTGCAATCATTTGCCGTCCGTTTACCTCGGCCAGAAAATCCTGGAGAATCTGCGGACTTCATTTCAGCTTCTGCGGTACAGAGTTGGTACACCAACTTTTCCCGGCGGTTACAACAAAATCCCGAATTCTGGAAATGTCTTTTATGAACTTTCCGTTTTTTAATATTGTTTCTATTTGAAGGATTGTTACCGATAATATAATTGCCGTTCATTATTTAATTTTTTATTGCAAAAATCCATGCTTTTTTTGATTTCTTGTTTAATTGCGTTCTCATTGGTCAATTATATTACGATTTCGTTGATTTCATATTTTTTCATTTTCTGATCATCGTGGTGTAGTTCACTGCATGTTTTAAGTGGAATTTTGTTCTTCAAAAATAGTGACGGATACGTAATTTATAGTGAATGCTTCAAAACGTTTGTAGAATTTGATTGTGTATTCAGTTGTATTTCCGATTGTGAAAATGTTGAATTCTCTCGTTATTGTTGTTTATAGGCTGGTATATCATAATTTTGGTGAAAACGCTACCATTTTCATGTTGTTAGTATTTGCCAAAGTCTTAGGAGAGAGGACAGGGTGTTTGAAATGAAAATTCCGTTCATTTATAGAAATTTTTATATGCTAAAACTGTGTGTTCAGATTTATAGCATAAATATGTTGTTCTTTCGACGCTCAGTTTCAATAAAATCAGTAAGATAGTGGGTTTCAAAAATGCTAAAGTTAGGTTTGTGGTCTATTTTGTGTTTCCATTCCATTCTTTACTGTTTTCGGTTTTGAGTAACCTTATCATCGAAATAATATTTGTCGGTACCTGCAGATAGGTCTTAGTTTCACAGTGCAGTAAAACGGTTGAACTTATGACTGCTTGGATTTTGGCGTATCATACCATAGAAGAGCAGTCTTCAGTTTGAATACTCTAGGGTCCGGATGTTGGTCACAAACTAGGTTGCGTAACTTATTTTGCAACTTTGTGAAGGAGTATTCTCATGGTTTGAAGGTGAGTACTGTGACCAGTACAGTTTTTTAGGGGTTGAGGGTATTGGATGGGAGGAGGAGATATTGGGAGGAAATGAAGTGATAGGCTAACGGAGGTGAAGTTATCCAACTTTTAGTGAATCCTGGTTGTTATGATTGTGAAGAATTCCAGCCAGTTTTTGTCATTTCTGATTGTGATTAGTCTTCGGAGCAGTGCACCTATTAGCCCTACCCCACCGATGTGAATCGAATGTAATCTGAGTAAAAGTGCTAACAACTGAAATCCTAAATGATCCATTAAAATGATGTTGCATTGGTTGCAAACGTCAGCTTGTACAAATTAAGATGACTCATTGGTGTACATGTGAGTGTGGTTCATTGAGAAAGGGTAAGTTCGAGGAATGTGGTGTACTCGTTTGCATTCTGGAGAACTGATTAGTTGTATTGCACTGAAGATGATTCCTGTAAGAAATGCAGTTCTCCGTTGTCTTTTTATCACATGACATTGGAGAACTTTATTTTTTGTAAGATCGCTATTAAGATTTGTAGTTGTTAAAAATAAATCGTTTTTTTTAGATAATAAATTCTTTTATACAGTGCGAACCGTTTTGAATTCTATTCTTGCAAAAGCGTTTGATTTAAATGATACTATCTCAAGAGATTATTTAACAACGGTGCTGCTCATCCAGAGCAGAATTCTTAAATTCTGAATTAATCATGGTTGCTTTTGTCTGCTTACGGTGATGTCATTCATAATATTATTGTCCTATGTCTCGTCATTTAAATTAACGCTGTGCAGTGTTTGATTCAAAAGGTAAATAAAAGTGTTTCAGGCAAGAGGATGAACGCCAATGATATATGCCAAAGTCATCTTGACCTTAATGCACAGAACGGTGTTGCAAGCTACGATATCAATTCTCTAGTCGATGATGATTTTGAGGTTTGATTCCCTTATAGTATCATTTCATTTCAACTTAAAAATTGAAACTATGTCATGAGGTGTTGAGACACTCCGTCAGTTGTTTCATGATTTCGAAACATTTTGAGGAATGTATTAACATGACATGCGTCCAGCGTTTGCAATCTCATGTAATGACATTACGTATAATAAGTATAATGTGGTATTCAGATGTTACGATTCTGACTTATTACATAAGTAGATTATTAGACTATCTGCAGTTTTGTTTTATCTTATTGGCTACGTGTATGCACTTACTTTACTGGATGGATGAATTAGTTGGAGTAGTATGGCAATTACAGCCTACAGACCCATCTGTCGATGCATTAGTTCAATTTTCGTTCACTCAGTCTTAGCTGATACACATAATTTGGCCTTCTTGGTTTGTACACAGTTTTTATGAGGATATTCTACCCTTTATTTCAATATGTCTTGGCACTGCCACTTCGAAATCATGATGAAATATAAGAATTTGTTGTAGACGTTCCTCTTTGTTGTCCTATTCATCAATGTGGTAAAAAGTGTGCACAAGTACAAGGTTTCATAACGCAATTCATTGTGATTTTAATAATCATATACAGTTCTGAATTGCTCCCTTTGCAAATTATAAAATTATCAATTTCAGGTAATCGGTAGTTTGAGTGATACACTGCGTTCGGTTTCATTGGAAACTAGTTCAGAAATACCGCTGTATGATATAGAAATTGGTAATCATAATGGCACCGTTACCGAAAACTCTAGTGCAACTGCCGTAATGAATAAAGAGGTTGATGAGAGCACTCCGTTAGCAAACAACAGTTTGAATTTGATGTCAATTGACACTGATCGAAATACTGATATTCTCACGCAGACCATTATTAAATCATCAGTCGATGGTACAGATCTTTCAGCGCATTCTGTTCACGGTAATTTTACGGGAGAGCTCTTCTGTTCTTTGAAATTCAAGACTTATATTTTCGGAATTAATATCTTTATTTGATCAATTAATTACAGGGCCCAAAAAAGTAGATGTGATTCGTTCAAAAGAAACTTATGAAATCAATGTTAAATAGTTTTTTTTTCAAGTCTTTGGAACGATGCATATTTTGAACTGTTTAACTGAGCAAGAACGCTATGTTTTTCTTTCGGCTAGCTTCGAGATGCTTCTTATGATTCTGTTGCCTAATAGATGCACTTCCGTACCTCAATGAGATATTCAAATTGAGAATGACAAGAGAAATTGTTTTATAGCTGAATCTTTTGCTTAATAATGAAAATCTCATTTTGAAAACTTAGGAGAATTTACAGAAGATCCTATAAACACAGTTGAATCGATACGAGCTGATTATCAAGCTGCACAGCAGTCAGCCAAGCAGGAAAATGAGTTGTTACGTAAAGCATGCGAAAAAAGGAACGAACAGGTAAGTTTTCTTCTGTTTGGCTATTCTTTTTCGTCCTTAATTTCACCCGTCCGTTATATTTTTCGAAATTATGCTAATATTCTTATTCAGATCGAAATGTTGCGTCGTAGATTGGATGAAGAAATTGCACAGAAGATTCAGCTCAGTGCAGAGTTGGAAGAGACTCAGCGAGTTCTGAATGAATGCAGGTTAATCATATTTCCGATCACTTTTGAGGAATTCGTATTCATGTTGTTTGTCACCGTTACAACATATTAGCATACGTGTTAAAGAATTTCTAACAAATTTCAGGATAAAAGTAGACGAAGAGGTTGCCAACAGAATTGAGCGTGAAGACATTATCAAAGTTCTGCAAACCACAATTGTACAGCTTCAGAGTAACGGTGCGTAATTTATTACCATGCAATTTTGTAATCGTTTGATAAACCCTTGTTTAAAAGATCTCTATAACTTACAGTAATTAGACTCACTTCATAGTTCTAAATCAATTGACTATCATTTCAGCTATGAGTTTGCAGTTGCACTCATCATTCAGTCTTGTGTAAATGAAACACATAAGTTTAATGAGAGTCGTGGTATCTTCTGCACAATGGTTGATGTTTTGAAATTTCAGGTGATTTAAGTTGTCTTGGATCAACTGTGGTTAATGAACAAGCTTTGATTTCCTCGCTGCATGAAAAAGAAGAACTCATTGAGGTATATTTTAGCAGTGCCATCTGCTTTTATTTTTAAATATAAGATTTGGTGTAAATAAAAAATTGATCAGTTGTTTATTCATTTGACGAAGCTGTTCTTGATGTTCCAGGCGCTTAAAAAACAGTTAGAAGGAGCTGAGGAGCGGTATGAAAGAGAGCATAAGGAGGTGCTGGATTTGGAAGAAATAGTAAAAGTAAGTATGTGTAGTTTTCAAGCTCGATTTTTTAGTTTATGATTCCAATTGGTTTGTTTTGTGAGAAGTTTTAAAAAAGGTTTGTCTTTGCTTTACTGATTCTTCATAATTCTAACATTACTTTTTCCAGATCCTCCACGAATATCTCCAGAATGACCAGCAGACGCATGTGGAATAACTGTGGCAAGGAGTGCAGTTGAAGACTGTTCAATATCGAAACACAATAGCAACACAATAGCAATCTTTTAACGGGATATGTTTTATTCCCCGTAAAAATTGCAGTATTAGGAATTTGTAATGCTGTTTTTACACCAACTACTTATATAGTACCAGTAAAAATTTCAGATCCTCTTACTTACCATTATTCTGCATATTTGTTGCCCTCTGTGTGTGATCATTGCGAAGAGTAGACGGGCTTACTTGAAAATCATTACGAAGGAGACTTTTTTTGTTGAAGTTCCCATTTCTTTTCAGTAACTACCACTCTCATCACAACTTCCCCAAAAGCAGCTCGTAGATTTTGAGAAGACTTCGAATTTTTGAGACGTCATTTCTGGAGTTTTCATCTGCAATTAAATTTCATAGTCCCCAAAAAATTTACTCCTTGGTTGAGGTCTTGTGGTCCGATAGTTAGTTTTCTTTAGCCAATAAAATGTCAGTTAGAACCTTCGATCACTGATCAGTAAGTTGGCAAGTTCAGCCGACCGGCTTTTCTAAAATAATCTTTATGTAGGCTTTCTAAAAATAATCTTTCCACCCGTATTCTTCTCTGAACTATTATAATGAGCGATATATCTCGAAGATGTGTTGATCTCCGAGCAATCTAACTGCAATATTCGGCAAGGTACGTAACTGATTATATCTAAAACATTTCGATGTTACGCACTCTCGGTTGAAAACAACATTTGTTTGAGGAAACATCGGTCGAGACGTCTTGGATATAAGGAAAAAGTTATATGGAGTCCAGCAAACTTTTAGTTCATTTTTAATTGTTACATGGAGTTCATCATGATGGTATTCAGACACTTGAAAACATTTGAAGTGGACCCAAGTGTACTCGATGAGTAGTATTCTCGACGATGTATACCTTTTGTACCAGGAACTGGGTCATGTACATTTTAAAATTTACTTCATGCTTATTTAAAAATTTACGATTCTTATTGCCCGGCATAGACACTATATGCTTTTCAATAGAAAAGCATTTTTAAATGTATTTCTTTACACCAAATTTTACATACTCAGCAAATCCCCGTCAGAAAAGAACTGCATGGAAAAGAAAAGTTTCCCGGTCATTACGGTATTTCTATTCTTTCAACGCATCTTCAGATGTTTAACCTCTTCATAAATCCCATGTGACCCATAAATTTTACTGATTATTAAACGCTATTTACGCGTGAAAGAATAATTTCTCTTCCGGCCTTAAACTGCTTGCAAATGAAAAGCATTTTTAGAATACTTTTTCCAGAGATAAAACAGTTTAGATTTTTGAAAAACAGATAAAATGAATTCGTAATGCGGAGACCCTTATCGTGGGGTTCACGATTCCAAAGAGCATGGTGTTAAACACAAAAATGGATTTATATATTTTTACTGGTAGGATGAGTAAACGCAGTATGCGATTAACAATTCTCACCCTCATTATTCAGTTGCGTTTTATGATTTGCATTGTTTCCCTCCTAAAATATCGTTTGTAAAACATTTATTAAGATTATGCGGACTTGACTATAAGCTTCAGAGTTTCACATTAACTGTAAGAGTACCAATGGACATTAGCATCAGAAGACACATGGGCGGTAATACGTATGTTAAAATATATTCCCCTTACCAAGTCACTCAAAAAGTCTCTGAATGATTTGTTACCTATTGATAACTCTGAACAAAGTGATAAATCTCAACCAAATGGAACTAAACAGCCATCCCAATTAACTTCCTGCCTTGGATACCCGTTATGTACGTATGAGAGACATAATGTACAAATTTTTTCGAGGGTGACAAATCGGAGCAAAATTTTGATTCTACCTGCATTGCAAGTATCTACCTTTTTATAAATCTCAGTGGTCAGTGCTCACAAAACAAATGTAAATAGACATATTAGTAGAAAATTTTTATCTAAAAAAAAACGCACTTAAATAATACGAATGTTCCAAAATCCGAGTTACTCATTCGACAATACTGTCCCCTTCAATATCTACTATTCTCAGCAAATAGATAAATTTTGTAATACGCAGTACAATTCTGCCACGAAGATCGATTAAAAGTCATGACTTGGATGCTCAATTTCCCACAAAGATTCAATAAATTATTTAAAGATATCGGATTTCTACTACAGCAACGATATATAGGTAAGCGCTGCTTTTCTAAAATGTAGCTTTTTGAAAAAATAAAAGGCATAAATTGTGGCAAAAATGTGTGAGAGCCTTAAATCTTTTGCTACGGTAATCTTGAAATATTAAATAGAGATACTGTGTGTTCACAATTCAAAAACCTAGTCTTTCATGGAAAAATATGGACGGGCAGTAAAAACAGAGTAAATAACGATGCATAAATTTATCTGAAACATAAAAATACTCTTTCCTCTAATATGCAAGTTTGTAATTCTTAAAAATTGTCTTATTTTTGGCTAAAACATGTAAATAGCAACAATGTTTCACATATCAAATAAAAAATGTTCGAGGACGAGAACAATTTTCCAAGCGCGCGGGAAAGAAGCAGTGCTTGGTAGTAGCGACATATCGAAAGGAAAAAATGTCGACAGATTAGCAAACAAATGTACAATATTCCGGCGTTAAATATTTTCTTTAAGAAATTTAAAACATATGATTCGTTGAAAAACGAAGTCGGAGGTTACAAAGTATTATGGACCCACTTAACTAATATAAATTACATAAAACTATTCAAGAGTAGCTTATGCATGATCCATACCAAATGAATACATCTCAGATAATAAAATTTAGGGTTTAATTCGTAAATATAATTCAATCTCACCGTAACCTTGAAGTTATTATCAAAAATAAAAACTGGTCGCTTACTGCAGATCAACTTCAGAAACGCTCTCATCACATAATGTACAAGTTTAGTCTAAAAAAATGAAGTTTCAGATAAGAATGAATTGGTTAAACACTACAGCAGCAAACGAATGAATACAAATTTCTCCCCTCTGGATGAACAGTACTAGTTCTCCAGCAGCGATATTTATGGCGCCTCACGCCTTCTCAAGAAAATTTTCGGCTTTATTTACACATGTGTGAGCTTATATATAGTAGTTTAAACCATGAAACTTTGAAACTTGGAATTCCACGCTGCATTAAGACTAATGTCTGAGATGTGCACGAGAAATGATAACATATAATCAATTACTATTAACTTCGACAACAAATATAAAGTGACCAAAATGACAACATATGATTTGAATAGCAAAAAAATAAAAAGGAAATTTTGTCAAAATGTTTAAATGCGAGAACACCACACACACATACATACATACACATACACACACATACAAACACACAGGCGCACATTACAACGCATATATTGGTTCTGTTTGTCGAATACCGCACACAAGCATTCATACTGTAGACTCTTATACAAACAGGATCAGACCAACCAGCCGAATTAACAACAGCGCACTATTGAACAATAAGGAAGAGAAAAAAAGGGTGAAATCAGAATATCTACTTGATGAAAGAACTAAATTCAGTATTCTAAACTAAATTTATAGTAGAAGAAACGAAGTTCCATCTCATGAAAAATCCTGGAAAAAATAGCGCGCTACTATTAGTTAGAGTAATTTACCACTACTTAATGACAAACAAACATCGACCAATAAAACCATTAGAATTTGCCGCAACAGGGGTCTGCAATGACTGCAATGACAGATTGTTTCTCACAAGCAAAGAATAACTTCGTTTAAAAAACGTAAGAGTATCAACAAAAAACTTTTCCTTACTGCTACTGCAATAACAGCAAAAAAACCAGAAAAATCGGCGTCTGGCCTACCCGAAACTAATTATTTCCATTCAGTCTTCATTATCTTCTCCAGCATCATCGGCTTCTTCGAAAATATCGTCAAAATTATCATCATCGCCGGAAACTGCAGCATTTTCATCCATTTCTGGGACCAAAAAGTATTGTAGCGGATTCGGCCAAAGGTCGTCTTTGATTAACTGCAACAAAATATCTAATGCATAAAGTATGAATTGGCAAAATGTCTCAGCAGCAAAATTTGATGTGTCAAGTATGAATTTCGAAAAGACTATTACAATAAGAAATCAGTATATGGGAATAGAATGTTCTAATCGTTTCTGAATAACGAATTAAATCGTTTAGGAAACTATGAAACCTACTTCTGCAATTTCGTCATTACTTGGGTCCTGATTATCTGATAGCCAAGCGAAAAATGAACGTGGCGCTGGCGTTGCTTCACCGCTATTCTGACTCTTGGTTTTCACCTTTAAGAAAAGTAGACTGCATTGTAATCGAATACGAAGCCTCATAAAGATGGAAGCACACATTTTGAAGAAATGGTACACACCTTATTCAGGAGATCATTATCCGGCTTCCATTTGATGACAGTTGTGGTACTCGTTGGTTCAAAATCACCGAGGAAGAACTCCTTGACAAGCTGAGTATTTTCGAAAAACGGATTCTCATCAAATGTCAATTTAATCCTATATCCGGACTTGATGTCATCAAATTCTTCCACCTAAAAGAATCAATTCCAGCGGCAAATCACTATGGTGTCATTTTTTTAGTCATCTGTGAATAATAAAAGCTAAACAATTATAAGTCGAATCAACAAAATTTAACAAAATCAGTGTTGGGTAATATATTGAAAATAACCACATACTTCTAAATGGTAAGTCACCTATTGATTCTGATAATGGATAAAACATCCTGTAGTAAAAATCAAAAGATGAGAATGGTAGAATTCATAAAAAGACAAACCTCAACTGTAGTAAGATAATGTAAACATTCTTCTTCTTCTTCGTCCAATATCGCACTGATATTTGGATGGTTGACAAACTAAAAAAAGTTTTAACGAATTTTACCAATTGCTTAGAATGATGGTTAAAAAACTAAGAGTCAGAAAAGGGAAAGGTAAACTTCTTAGGACTACAAAATGACACAGCTGACTCTTCTTTTTTCGAAATATGTTAACTGAATGGCTGAACAAGTTTTGCTTTATTCAGCTTAAGATAATTCGCATGATCACAATATTTCAAATCGGCTAAAAAACATTTCTGAATAGTCTTATTTAGTTTCCACCTTGCAATGCTAAAAATTCCAAACTCATTTATCCTCTTTTATGGCGAAGTAGATTATAGAAATTCCAGGTCTCGCAGTACACAAACACGAAAAAATTAGATCTTCATCAATGTAGAACGCAAAATTATTTAAAAAACTTACTGCAGTGACCCAGAAATTTGGAATGTCGCGAACAAGGTCGTTGCGCTTATCGAAAAACGGCTTTCGAAGAGAATTATACTTCTGTTCAACCTTTAAAGTGCTTTCAATTTTGTTCCAACAAAATTTAAAAAAAAAAAAACCATAATGCGACATGAATAATTCTCCAAGAAGCCACTACTCACTGTTCAAAAGAGGCTCAAATCATTGCAATACGTTTTATCAAGAGATAAAACAAAACAACTCTGATAGGTGTACCTCGAATTTTTTCCATCAAACGTGCATGCGATTACCATACAGATGCAATAGCGTTAAAATCACTCTGTAGTTGATTTCTGAAGACCCAAGACTTGCAAGGAACTTTCGACAAAAGTACACCACTAAAAAAATATTACGCAAACTAACCTTTAATATTTCTTCGCTTGCTTTCTCATTCAATGAATCTATTTCACTTTGCACCTGATCAATCTGCTCCAGAATTTTTTGCGTGGCAGCATCGTAATCACCCACCTGAAAGCATACGCACAAGCAAATATGGTGGATTACAGTGTATGATTGAAAGTGATAAGTTATATTACGGGAAAATCCATTCGATGATAGGAAGTAACTGTAATTCAACTATATGCAGAATAAGAAAACGGAGACTAAGTGACGCTCTTGAGTGACTTCTGAAGTACTTCAAGAAAGCACACACTGGAATATCCTCAGCGTAAAATCATATTTTTCATTTTTCCATTGACCAAGCAAGCTCATAATTTCAACGGATTTGTATAAAACACTTAAGAAAATATGCTCTAATAGATTTCTGTATCGCTACTCTTCATGATAGTTAAGAAAGACACAATTAAGAGCAAATTGCAGCGGCATTCTAAGTTCATATTTAAAAACTAAAAAACAAAAGAAGCCGTATTTCAAACTGCCTTCGAGCTATCGCCATTTGTTTCATTATCCGTTTTGCAGCGTTTCGCTACTGGTTCACCCATTGTCACAACGATATTGTTTCTGCTACACCAAGACAAGTTCAATTAATCGACACAGCCCACTAAAAATATATCGGACAGTGCTAACGCTGTGTCCGAAATTCCTCGCAAGATTTGTTGGTTATAACATAACGTCCCAGCAGTTAATAGCAAACAATTGCATATTTTACATCGCACTTCCTAAAGTAATGTCCATTTCGGGCCTTATAGCTTATCCACCTGAAATTCAAGCTCACTACAAGAATGAGCGTGAAAGTCAAGCGTACAAGTAATCCTTCATCTCTCTTATAAAAATAAAGATTCACTACCAAACGATGCAGAACAATTCAAACCTACGATCCCCACCCCTCCACGCATCCGATCATGCTCTATTCGCCCTAAAAACATATATGCTAGATTTAATGAAGCCCACTTTTCAGCTCTGAGACCTCATTGCAATAAACCGTTCCGGACGGGTGAAATACAGATGTTGCGTTGCTTAGGCGTGTATAGATGTTGCGTTGCTCAGATATTCATCGCAGAAACAGTCAGCTGATTTGAATCGAGGTTCACTGATTTTTAATTATTTAGACCTCCACAGAAATTGCAACTGTAAGACAGCGCTACGCAACCTCACCTGTCAATGGACGTCCGCGCCTATTCTCCTGCGTCATGCGCCAGCCTCTCTGCACTCATCATTGCTGCTCATGCGATCTTCGTTAAATCTCGAAACGATTGTCCTTACTACGGTCAGAACGCTTGGCAGTGTCTCAAATTGCGTGCGGTTTGGAAAATCCGTAAAGTTGTGGGTGGAGTGGAGAAGGTGTTGTTTCTTGTGATAAAGGGAGAATGTTTATTAGTGTTTTAGTAGGGTTTTTAAATTGAAGATGGGAATGTCGAAGACTGATTATAGGTGATCTTGTGACCTGGTGAATTTGGGAGCTGAAATTGGAGTTTAATTCATATAGACAAAAAAAGATTTTAAAACTTAACGGAACATGTTTCAAAACTATGCAAGCTTTTGAGCAAAGAATAAGTAAGGAAAATAAAGGAAACGTGAAGTGATACGATTCAAAGTATTATACGCCGCTGGAATAATCCCATGTGGTTCTGATTATGAATGCTAATACTGACGTATACTTATTGAAGACAGTTATCTGAACAAATAGCTGCTTGGAAACTGCATGTGGTATTCCTTCATGGAATGATACTGTGCATTATGCAGTTTTGATCTTTTGTTGAGACAGGTCCCTTTGTGAAAGTAAGCAAGATGACTAAAAGCAAAATTAGATCGTAGAAATTAAGAAATTTCCAAGGTACCTTGAAAAGTATTATGTTTTATGCTTCTGATATGGGATTTAAATGTTTATCATTTTGCCTACCGTTGCATTTGTTTTTGTTTGGTCATGAAAGGATAATGCGTTACTGCTTTCGGCATACTGTAATTTATATAATTGAAGGATTTTCTAACAGCTTCGAGGATTCGACAATGAATATACAACGTAAAGTAAAATGTACAGCCTCAGTGGAAGCTCCCAAGGTTTTCTATTTATCGCTGTGTAAAAACAAAAAGAGAAATAAAACTTTCTAGTTATATGAAGAAGTGGTTTCAGTTGAATGCTGTAAAAGTCAAGATTTATTCAGGATCATGCTGACATATTGGAGTGCTTCACAGTTAATGAACTTATTCCGCTATACAGCCAAAGTTTCCATATGAGCAAGTTGTTTTAAAAGTGCTATAAATTTTCGTTTCAGGTACATGAACAGACTCATTCAGCTATAACGGATGCCTTATATCATTGTCCCCCGCCGCCGAAACCACCGTTTGCAGTGGCCAAAGTTCGGCGTGGGCCAGTTACGCCTCCAAGTCCTGATGAGAGTCGCTTGTTGACAAATAAAGATGTGAGTTCTCCTTTTTTCTCGACAAACGTGAATGCACTCAAAATATCAAACAAACATCTCTGATTTGGTGATTCTTTAATTGAACAATTTACAATTCAAGAACAGTGTTATATTTAGACAGCAGACCGACCAAATATCAGTGGAGACGGATATCTTGCAGCAAATTCTGGTCGTAACCTTCTAAGCGGGGCAGCAAGTATCTCAGGAAGCCATCCAGTTTTCGCTGAGCGGTCAGTGGGTTATTTGTTTTATTGATTGCCACATCAAGAAGCACAAATTTAGGAGGAAAAGTAATGCATATGTGGAAATATTTGCAGGACAATTAGGCGTGGCCCACATACTCCACCATATCCTCCGAAATCACCTGATTCTCGATCACCATCACCAATAGTTAATGAAAAGCCAGTAAATATAAAATCGATCGCCAAGCCAACAGCAACGAGAGATCGAAGTCCAGTAGTTGTCTTACCAACAGTTAATTTGTGTAAACCGAACTATTCCGGCAGTACAAGTCTTCGAGGATATACAGGTCCATTTTTCTTCATTTTTCGTCCATTTTTTACCTATATCTCAGTGACTGATATCAAGTATTAGCGCAAAATTCATTCAGCAAGCCATGAGAAATATTAATAGATATTCGTACGTATTGCTCATCTGTGTACCACATCATGAATTTTTTACTTATTATTTTAAAACTACGGATTGAATTGAATATAAAAGAATTGCTGAAATATGTCATATGATCATCAGTGAGTATTATACAAAATACTTACGCTTCAAGTTATTTTCAAATCCTTATTTGACAGTCATTGAATGTACATATTCTAGGCAGCAGTGGTATGCCACAAATGACTTGTTTCGGTTCTGCACCAGGTATGCATGTACAACCATTTCTGATGATGCAGTCGACTTCAACAGCAACAACCCTCTCTCCGTACATGAATACACAGACGAACAACCATACAACTGGAATTTTTCAAACCTCTACTTGGTCAGCAGATTCTAGCTTTGGAGTTTGTCCTCCCTTCAGTTTTGCTTCGTCAATTTCTAAGTAAGTTTTCCCTTAATATCACAATGGCATCAGATCAACTCACTGATGTTTCGACAAATCCTTTGTCACTTCTCTTTGATATTCAATTAAACAAAAGACTCAGTTTATCAACTTTCTCTTAATGAAGAGTGAAGAGTGTTATATAGTTCGGAATTCTGAGCCATATTTTACACGTTTTTGGCTTATCAAAAAAATTTTTTAATGCAGTGTCGTCGAAATACTAAGCAAAATAAAAGTTTCATTTTTCTACTTAAAATAATTCATTTTAAGCAAAGTTGTTTACCTTCCATCTCAATATCTATCATTTATTAGGAAAATTGTAAAGATTGTTTAGAAAAAATTTTTTTCTTAACTATTACTCAGCTTTCTAAATCTATTGTGAACATGAGATTTTTTGTTTTAATTTTGTTCCTTTTTTTTATGCAGAATTTCAGTCAAAAGTTTTTTAGCGAACGCTTACTTGGTCCTGAAGTACTTACTGTTCCTCCACCGCCACCGCCTCCTCCACCACCAAATGATATGCGACTGGTGTCTCAGTCGAATTTTTGCATGAAAAACAGCACCTCTTGTTCTGTTAAAAGCGATCCGAAATCAGGTACATATTGATGAAAGACCAACATTGATTGAATTACTCGATGATTACTGAATTAAATCATGATTTTGGACTAGATTAAAACTAATTGAATATTAGTTGGAATAAAACCACAAGTTAAACTTTATATGATTTTAGAAGAGTATTGCTTTAACTGTTGTGTTGATTTCAGGGATTCCTTCTATTACCAAATCGAAGGATATACCGATGGCTTTGGATCCGATATTGCTTGATCTTGCTGACTTGTCTCCAAAACCACGAGTTCCCAAATCAACAAAACCTGCACGCTTTCAAAACGAAAGAAAAAAATTATCTGTTCACAGAGATTCAGCTGTTAAAGAATGTCACGATGCCTTGGACACAAAAAATCGTGAACAGAAATGTACTTTAAAATTGGTTGGATCTGAAAAAAAGGAAAGTGATAAAAAGGCTAAAGAAGGGATCAAGGCAATTAAAGTTTTAAAACCGTCCGAAAAGGTTAAACGTGAAGAAATGGATGGTGTGGAAAATAAAAATCCAAAGCCAGTTGATGGTGATCTACATGAAATCAAACAAGCAACCAGTAACTCTCTTAAATCGATGGGAAGTGAGAAGGAAGTAAATAAGGATGAAACGAGCAGTACTCTTTCAAATGGTGACAGTGATTCGCTAATAAAAGTTGTGGACGATGGGAAAGTAACGAAAGTAGATAAAAATCAGATGGATGTTTCTGTTATCAAAAGTGGTAAAATCCAACAAGGTGAACTGAATTTGGAAATTAAGCAGGCAGCAGACAGTGATATACGTGAAAGACGATTGGCTATTGCTAATTCAGAGGACGGTTTGTCTTTTTTTTTTGATATTTTCTTAGGGATTTTTGATGATTTTGAGGCTGATAGTGACACTCTGCGTATGATAGATCATGTGCAATATAACAATTTTTAATTTAGAAAGTCAGCACATAAATTACGATTAGTAAGTATTATTTATAGTAATTTTTCTAGGAGAAAAACCACAGCGAGAACTTAAAGAACTGCGAGAGGAAATAGTTATGGAAAGAATTGTCGTTGTTCCAGAGGATGATTTGAATGGCGATGAATTGATATCATGTATTGATTCAGAAAGGAACTCTACTCCGGATAATGTTTCATTTTATTATTATTAGAGCTCTATTGATTTTGAATTAAAACAGTTATTTCAATTTATTGTAAATCTATTTTAGGCTCAGTTTTTCTCAGTCTCTGTGATCTCGTCAAATGAAAATCATGAAGATGAAGTTGTTGAACTTGGACCACCAGCTTCTCCAGTACCTGGACTGCGGTTAGTTCATTGATATTTTGTTTTATATAGTTTTGTTATTTATTGTATTCACATTTATACGTTTTTTTGCAAAAATTCATTTTAATTTGCTAATTGCATGAATTGGATTGTTTATACTGTTCAGTCTAAATTAATTTATTTTGGGATATTAATATTCCAGGAGTACCAAACTTTTTGTTAATTCTTGAGAAATGATTTATGTTTGTGTATGTTTGTTTATACATTTCTTATCATAAATGCGGTACCAAAAGTTTGAATTGTATGTTTTGTATACAATTCAAACTTTTGGTGCCGCATTTACGATAAGGAATGTATAAGAGAAATTTATCAATTACTTTATGCAGAATGTATGAAAAGAATGAAAATTTAGAATATGAAATAGTTGTGAACCCCCGTGTTTGCTTCTTCAAAACCAATCAAAATATTTGAAGTAATTTTGTTGTACGACTTTGAAAGAAGATGGCGTGATTCCTTACAAAGAGTGAAGTAGGTTCTGAAAAATCAATCTGTCAATCCATTTTTCAGGTTGAAGTCAGTATTGAAAATGTAAAAGACGAAAATTTTACGCGCCAGACTTTCCAGATTTATTTCTCTTATCAAAAAATCTTGTAATAAGTAAACTTATAACATAGTTTTGTACTCCACCGTTACAGTTACAAATTATGTAGTACTCCGCAAATATATTAATTTATTCTATTTACTTTACTTTCACTATATTTATAGTTGACTGACTGCTCAGCTTTTTTCCTTTTTAACAATAGCTTTTATGAAATAACAGTCGGAAGTTGCAGGGAAGTGTATATTTTGACAGAATTTCAAACATATTTGGACCAGAGGGACAGTGTATCTCATCTTTTGGTTGCAAATACTGATCTGAATATTTTGTCAAGATATTTTTCTAAGCTTTCTGCAATTAAAAAGAGTTGTGAGAAACAGTAAATAAATATACCACCATATTGTCTACACTTGTAGATTTTTTTGAAAAGGCAGTAGCTAATATTTATATAACTTCATGATTATTGTTTCAGTGGACGTGAATATTCATCTCCATCCACAAGTGGCTTCACCGATTCCACACCAAGCGCTTTATTCAGACAGGCAACCGCAGCTGATGTTGCAGGTTGTTCAAAAACTCTACTGCATGACAGTAAAAGTATACCACGGCATAAAAAGATTCATAATCAACTGCCAAAGATTTCTGAGAAGGTCCTTTTTTCGAGACGTTTTTTTTGCAATATGTTTTTGATTGATATTTTATTGACATTAAATTTTTTTTTCTATAAAAGTCATATTCTATGAAACTGGAGTATTTCAGTTTCGAAAATACATTCATGTTGTGACGCATCCAAATGGTGGCGCTTCGATGCTTAAAGCGGATTGGTCGAAAATTAAAGAACATTTCAGCGGCCCCGAGCTGGATGAATTTACCATAGAATTTGTGACATTTGGCTTGTCTGAAGTTGACAACACTCCTGTATTTGTAATTGCTGTTATTGAAAACGCTGCTGAATACCTCCAGGTAAGAATTACATTTGAAATTTTCATTAGTACCTTTCTCAAATATTTTTCCTTTGTTAGTGAAATTAAACCTGGACAAAATCTAATTATTCAGGCTTTCCAGATTTGGTTTGATCCCTAATTTCTCTTCAAAAGAGTAATTTTGGTATTTGATTATAGAACGGTTTGGAATATTTTGCCAAGAAATTTCCCCATATGCCAGTAAAGATTGGATCACTCACCAGTAAGCAGTGTGTTAGTACAACAACTGTTTCGGAATATTATAATCATGTTATGGAAACTTGCCACCATGGAACTTTTAGGTGAGTTAATGACAATTTGAGAGCTAATTATTTTTGAAATGTCTGTGAAGTCTTTGTGATGCTTAGTGAGAAATTTGTAGGAAAGACCCCATCAATCGTTATATCACGGTACGAGAAAAACAGCTGTTGAGTATAGTCGAAGCGCTACTGGACATATGTTCCAGAAGCTTTAAACATTTTGGAGAAACAAAATGCCATGTACTTAGCAGTTAAATACAGGTGAAACAGCCACTGCGAACTTAACTGCGAGTTATGTTTCTAACTATTCCAGAACTACAAAATGGGGTGAGGATAGATTGTCTGGATTAGTTGTTTGTCGTTTTACTGAACTGTTTTAATCATATAATTATGCTATAGTTTGATTTGAAATTTCTTTCAGATATGGTCCATTACACTCGCTGAGTCTGGTGGGAACGAGACAAGAAGAATGTGGCAATTATTTCAAAGTTTGCTTTATATCGTATTATATTGATTTTGGGTTATTTGTTTCTTCAATATTTTTTGTGACGTGATACAAATTAAATTTGTATCACGTAAATTTTTAAGGAACTGATTGAATGGTTGGAAATGTTCCCAATGCTTAAACTTCTAATGCCGTGGGGTGAGTGGTCTGGAGCAGATCTCGAAAGTCCTTCTGATAGTGATGATGGACCCATTTTTTGGGTACGTCCAGGTGAACAGGTATGTTCACTGATTATATGCATGATAAAAAATTATTGTAATTTTTGTGTATTTCAATCAACATTTACTTTATTAAACAGTCTTTTATTTCTTTATTGATTTCATTTCCTGTTTTCTTACTGCTCTTATAGATGATAAGAACTGATGAAATGAAAGAAGATTTGTCATCCAAAACTCGAAAGCGAAGCGCATCAGTTCGACCACATGTACCGTCCTACAGGTTTAAAATGTTCTTGAGTTTTTATTTTTTAAGATAATTTCCACTCGTATCAATTCTCTGCTGTTGCTAATTTTGCTAAAAATGTTAGTTTCCTCAGGTGCAGAGAACCACGTGAATTCTTCTTCGAAGATCGGACACCATGTCATGCAGATCATGTAGGTGATGGATTGGAAAGGCGTACAACGGCTGCAGTTGGTGTGCTTCAATCAATTTATGGACCAACGGAAAAGAAAAAGTAAGTGAATGGTAAAATTCTTTCTCGTTTATACAGAACTCTTCATTATTTTATAAAACTTCATTAAATCAAATTCAAATCGACTGTGCATGACAGTCTGATGTGTAGATTTGTATTTTTGTAGAAATAAGATAGGAAGAAGAGCAGTAAAAGATGTCGTTTGCTTCCATGCAAGTGATTTCGAAAGAATTGTTGACGAGTTACAGTTGGATCTTTATGAACCTCCGATGTCACAGGTATAATCACATTTCCTAAACTTCTTTTGCAGTCAAACTTTTGTTAGAATTCTGTGGCTATAGTAACGTATTTCTACTTTTTAATTTGCTGTAATTCAGATGAACGATTTCCTTTCTCATCCTAATTACACTTGCTTTCAGTGTGTACAATGGGTTGAAGAGGCAAAACTAAATCAGTTAAGAAGGGAAGGAGTGCGTTATTCACGCTTTTTGGTAAATTTTTGCGCTCTAGTTCTCAATTGTTAAACTTGTTCATTGATTTAACTTTTTTGACAAAATAAGATGGGGACATGGGCAGGTAGCGACAATGGTTGGAAGCATTATTTTCTGTGAAAATTTGCAAATTATTTTGTGATTTATTTGTATTGCTGTGTAGTCGTTAGCATTTTCATTGACTATTTAGTTGCATGATAACGATGCTTACTTTCTGCCACGGAAAATAATCCATCAATTTCGAACTATAAGTGCTTGCGCTTCAATTGCCTGGCATGTGCGACTTAAACAATACTACAATGACAATGCGGAAATGGAAGCACACGAAAATGAAGTAAAAAAAGCGGATGTGAAAGTTAATGAAAGTGGAAATCGTCGAAAACGGAAGAAAGATGACACCAAAAAATGTGGGAGATGGAAAGGGTAAGTTTCCGAATTCTGTTATTGAATTTATTACATGTATTTAAAATAACCAGAATGAAGGCAATTGACTCTCATTCTTCAACATTATTGAAATTCTTTATTCCTTCAGAAAAGATCGTATGAAAAAAGCGAAGCGTTCGGATGATTCTGGACCGAAATCTTCCAAATGATGGAATTTTTTTTGGATCAGCAATTTAAAGTCGCAGCATCTATTAAATACATTCCTTTGACAAATGGTGGTAGATAAGTTAGTGACTTTCTGTAAAACTTTTTTGCAGCTGCTGTGGAAAACATTCTTGGGAATCAAAATTTCCTTAATTGTTAAATTTATCAGGTTTTTATTATAAACGCTTAGGAAACAGATTTTTTTGGATGTAGTTCCTTCAAATATTTATTTTGTTCTGTTGTTGTTTATTCATGTGTAATTAATTACTGGCATGCTTTCTGCTTCTTGCCTCCATTAATTGCTTTGTTAAATATTCATGTGGCCATCCTTAGCCTTATTTGTCATCTTAGGGCTAACTTTACATCTATACGTGGTATCCATCTCTTTGTTCTTGCAAGTTCATTACCTATAATTTCTGAAAGTTTTTATGTTTTACTTGTTTTATTTGAATTTGATTAAACTGTCATGACTTATCACTCTGTTAGTTTTTGTATATTTCATTATTTTTGGTTGTTTTCATATCACCAATTTTCTGTTCCTTATTCCTCTATATTTAATGAATCTGGTTTTATGGTTGATTGATCGGTTCTTGAAATATTAGTTGATAACGTGAAGTATTAGTACATCGACTGAGATATTCTGTGTTAGAATTGTCACTGTTTTGATGAACACAATCACATTTTCATTATTTGTCTTGTCTGGAGTTTTACGGGATTTGAAAAAGTTACGTTCGTGGCGATGGTTGTCTTGGTCGTTTTGTTTCATTTTTAGTTATATACTTCATCAGGAATGTAATCAAATTGAATCTCCTGTATTATAGACATTTTTCTTCTTTCATTTTCAGTCACCTGTTTGAAGTGAATGTTTATTTTCTTGTGTTGTTATCAAATCTCAACCACAGAAATGGCGCATTTATAGTGTAATATTTTTTTTATCCAGTATTAAAGCACGTATTTTAAATATTGATTACTTTGTAGTAGTTACTGTTATAATTTGTGCGTATGTGCGTGGGAATAGTATCTGTAAATTATGAAGTTGAGGCAAAACATGTAATGGCTTACGTGTGGAGCTTTCATCGTTTGGAATACATTCTTTCCAGTTGATAAAAACTGTAAGTTATAGCTAAACTTGAATATGAACAAAGTTTGATTTGCTGTTCAAATTCAAAATCATCAAAAGTGATAAGTTACGGGAGTCATTTACGAATTTATGATGTGAGCTATATAGATGATCACTTAGTGATTAAAGTGGCAGATACTTTCCAATGTAGGTACTTAAGTACTTACATTATTATTGATGTTCTTCTGACTGCTGTATGGAATTTGAAAATTCCGTTTCTTGCTACATAACGAATAAAAATTCAAACCTAATGAAACATGAAACAATATGTTTGTCGAAGAATGCATGCCAAAATATGACTCGTAAGTCACATGCCTTGTATCGTGCAAGGTGGGCTTTTCTAGTGTTTGAGTTAAGGTTGTTACTATTGTGACAGTTCTGCTCTTGAGACATACGAGATGTCGGAAACTTTTGACCAGACTTTTAATTTGCTTTGGTGGGATTACAGTTTCTGTTTTAAAATAATTTTCAAATTTCTAGATTTCTGAGAGTTCACGGATCTGCTTATAATATGAATCAGTTTCATTACGGCAACTTGCGATTTAAGTGGCGTAGAATCTTAAAGAATTTGCTATCTAAATAGCAAGTGTGAAGATGACGAATGTGAAATCTAATCCTTACAAGCTCAAAATTCTTGCTGAAGCTAAACACAAATCACAAGAATTCCGAAATAATAGAATTACGAAGTTGTCGGAAGATTGTTTGAAAGGATAGAAATGATTTCTAAAATGAAATTGAGAACATAGTTTGTTTCAAATTCGCTGCGTTCGCTTCGCTTCTATTTGTTACTCGCAAAATCCTTGCGAAAAAAAATCTATAGCAAGATTAGTCGGCACCCTTCTCCTTACTTAAGAAGGCAATTACACTTCATTGGCATCTCGAACACTCTGGATTTAAAGGCAAATGAACGGATTCCGGATAATTTGGTTTACTTTACTGATCCCACTGAAAAAAAGCTTTCGCCAAGATTTAAAACTTCCATACAACATCGAAAAATGCTTCAAATTACTCGCAACTTTTTTCGCTATTTTATTATTGTTCATTTTAAACTGAATTTGGTTCCTATGCGCAAAGCAATCAATAAAGAAACATTCAAACCGACAAGTTTTTGTCAATAATTTCCACTTTAAAAGACCTTGAAGGGAAGAGAAGTGAAGAGACGCAATCATTAATGGAAAGATGAAATCAGGAAACAATACGAGGTTTAAATTACTGTCTAGATCTCCGGTTTGCCAAATGAACCACTGTTTTCTTTTTTCTCTCTCTCTTTTTTCTCTTTGCATTCAATCGCTCATTCCAGATAATTGAATCATTGAATCATTTGGAGTTCTTTGGTTACTGTATATATATATATATATATATA